TTAATCATCCAGTCCAATCACAATTTTTTCTGAACATAGTAAATTGAAACGAAAAATGTACCAAAATAGTTGCGAAGCAACATTTTTCTAAGCATATCAAATTGAAGCAAAAAATGCACCAAAAATAGTTGCGAAGGAACATTTTTTTCGAAAACAAATTGAGACACAAAAATGTGGGATCAAAATAGTTGGGAAGTAAAGTTTTTCTAAGTATATCAAATTGAGACAAAAAATGGATCAAAATAGTTGCATGGCAACTATTTTGATCCATTTTTTGTCTCAATTTGATATTCTAAGAAAAACTGTGATAAGAAAATAAACAATCAAAATTAGGAAATAAGAAAATAAAGATTTAGAATTAGGAACGAAAATTTTGTGCCAATAAATCATTATTGTTTCGTAAGAAAGGAAATTCCTTACGAAACAATAATAAGAATCAAAACACATTTTTTTATAGATAAAAGTAGAAAAATTTTAATTTTCGGATTTTTAATACGCAAGCACTGAAAAAATTAAAGTTGCTAAAGAAAAAGAAGATACAATCGTTTAAATATAGGAAAAAATTGTAAAATGCATTGTATGTGGTTGCATATAGAAGGTAAATGCAAGTATATCATTCGAGAATTTGTGAGAATTGTGTACAGGTGCTGGTGCGCCTTATCTCGAAACTTGAGACACACCCTCAGTTATTTTGTACACGATCTAGACTTGCGCAAAATCATGGGAAGCTGCTAGTAGTAAAGGATGAAGTGAGCCGCGTGGGAGGAGATGGGAGAACTGAATCATGAGCACACTAGTAGGAGAAATCAAGTGTGTTAGAGAGAGGGAAAAGAGTATATGATAAACTGGTTCTCGGCTATATAGAGTAAAAAGGGGAAAAATATTAATGATTTACAAACGTAAATTTTGAACAATTATTTCTGTACTTGAAGGTCATGGAAATTTTCGCCTCTTTAATGAAAGACACCTAAAAGTGATTGAAATTTGTCTTTCTTAATTTTTTCAACATTTGGAATTCTCTCCTAATTTTAAAGGTTCGAAATGTTAAAAAGTTTGGTTGCATCAAAAAGTCTATTAATAAAAACAGATACTTTTGTATTTGTTATTACTTCTTTTACTTTTGTTATTTGCTTCTTTTACTTTTATTATTTACTTCTTTTACTTTTGTTTTTAGAAAACAATATTTAATTCCATATCAATCATCTATTTTCTGAACCAATGTTTTTTGTTTTAGGAATCAAAAACTTTGGGCCAGCCGTGAATGTTTGATTTACACAAATATTTGAATTCCATACTAATATAGGTACCACCGGAATGTTTAATTTTTTTAACCAAACACTTTGGTTCTTTGTGGTCTGGTTATCCTATAACTTTTATTAGTTGACCGAAAGAACTTTATTAGTCATCCCAAAAAAGTTTATTGTTCATTCAAAAGAAGTTTATTTTTTATCCCAAAGAAAATTATTGATTATCCAAAAGAAATTTATTGGTTATCACAAAGAAGAAATTTTATGTCTATCCCAAAGATTAAGCCGGTTATCGCAAAAAAGTGTAATAGCTGTCCCAAAAAAGTTTATTGATTATCACAAAGAAGTTTACTAGTCATTTCAAAGACGTTTATTTTTATCCCAAAAAATTTTACTAGTTGTCCCAAAAAAATTTATTACTCACCCCAAAAAAGTCGATTGTCTAAAAAATTTTTACTAGTTGTCCCTAGAAAGTTTATTGATTACCCCAAAGAAGTTTACTGTTTATCACAAAGACTAGTTTATTGATTATCCCGAAAAAGTGTAACAGATATGTCCCAAAAAAGATTATCGATTATTCCAAAAAACTTATGTTTATTCCAAAGAAGTTTAATGATTATTCCCAAGAAGTTTATTGATTACACCAAAAAATTTTATTGATTATCCCAAAGAAGTCTATTAGCTGTCCCAAAGAAATTTAATGATTATCCCAAAGAAGTTTATTAATTACCCCAAAGAAGTCAGTCGATTATCTCAAAAAACTTTACTAGTTGTCCCAAAAAAGTTTAGTGATTACCCCAAAGAAGTTTATTGTTTATCACAAAAAATGTTAATTGTTTATCTAAAAGAAATTTATTGATTATCACAAAGACGTTTATTAGTTGTCCCAAAAAAGTTTATTGATTATCCCAAAGAAATTTTATGTCTGTCTCAAAAAAGTAAGTCGGTTATTTCAAAAAGTTTAGTACAGTTGTCCTAAAGAAGTTTATTAGTTATATCCGAAAGAAGAAAGTTAGTTATTCCAAAGAAGTTTAAAGTCTATCCCGAAGAAGTGGATCGGCTATTCCAAAAAAGTTTATTAGATATCCAAATGAATGTTTATTGATTATTTCAAAGAAGATTATTAAATGTCCCAAAAAAGTATATTTCATTATTATTCTTGGTTATCGAAAATAAGTTTACTGGTTATTACAAAGACGTTTATTGTTCATCCCAATAAAGAAAGTTGATTAACCCAAAGAAATTTTATGTCTGTCCTAAAAAATAAGTCGGTTATTGCAAAAAAGTTTAATAGTTGTCCCAAAGAACTTTATTAGCCATCCCAGAGAAGAAAGTTGGTTTTCTAGAAGAAATTTTATGTCTATCCCAAAAAAAGTAACTAAGTTATAACAAAAAATTTTAATAGTTGTCCCAAAGCTGTAAGTTGGTTATCAAAAAGAACTTCATTATTTGTCCTAAGGGAGTTTATTTTTTATCCCAAAGAAATTTTATGTCTATCCCAAAGAAGTAAGTCGATTATGTCAAAAAAGTGAAATAGTTGTCCCAAAGAAGTTTATGGATTATCTCATAGAAGTTTATTAGTTGTCCCAAAGAAGTAAGTTGTTTATCAAAAAGAACTTCATTATTTTTCCTAAAGAAATTTATTGTTTATCCCAAAGATATTTATTGTCTATCCCAAAGAAGTAAGTCGGTTATGTCAAAGAAGTGTAATAGTTGTCCCAAAGAAGTTTATTGATTATCTCATGGAAGTTTATTAGTTGTCCCAAATAAGTAAGTTGGTTATCAAAAAGAAGTTTATTATTTGACCTAAAGAAGTTTATTGTTTATCCCAAACATATTTAATGTATATTCCAAAAAAGTAAGTCGGTTGTCACAAAAAATTCCAATAGTTGTCCCAAAGAAGTTTATTGATTATCTCAAAGAAGTTTATTTTTTACCCCAATAGAGTTTATTGGTTATCTCACAGAAGAATGTTGTTTATCCCAAAGAAATTTTATGTCTATCCAAAAGAAGTAAGTTATCACAAAAAACTGTAATAGTTGTCCCAAAAAAGTAAGTCGGTTGTCACAAAAAATTCCAATAGTTGTCCCAAAGAAGTTTATTGATTATCTCATAGAAGTTTATTAGTTGTCCCAAATAAGTAAGTTGGCTATCAAGAGAAGTTTATTATTTGTTCTAAAACAGTTTTTTTGTTTATCGCAAAGAAATTGAATATCTATTTTAAAGAAGTAAGTCGGTTATCCCAAAGAAGTAAATTGATTTTCTCAAAGAAGTAAATTGGTTTTCCCAAAAAAGTTTATTAGTTGTCCCAATAAAGTTTATTGGTTATCGAAAAGAAGTTTATTGGTTATTCCAAAGACGCGTAATACATTCTTCATTCCAATAAAGTAGTTTATTGATTGTCCCAAAGAAGGAAGTCGGTTATCCCATAAAAGTGTAATTTTGTCCCAAAGAAGTTTATTTAAAATTTTAAAGAAGTTTAATAGTTGTCCCAAAAAAAATGTAATGTCCATTCCAAAGAAGCAGTAAATCGATTGTCCCAAAAAAGTTTATTAATTGTCCCAATGAAGTTTATTGCTTATTCCAAAGTAATTTATTGATTGTCCCAAAAAAGTAAGTCGGTTATAGCAAAAAAGTTTCATAGTTGTTCCAATAAAGTTTATTGATTATCTCAAAGATGGTTAATGTCTGTCCCAAAATATTAAATCGGTTATCCCAAAAAAGTTTATTGGTTATCCCAAAAGCGTTTTTTTGGTTATCCAAAAAAAGTTTACTGCTTTCTCCAAAGACTTTTATTTTCTATTAAAAAGAAGTTTATTGGTTACGACCATAATTGCAGTTTTTTGCTGTCCCAAACAATTTTTTCTGCTATCCCAGCCAAAATTCAAATACCACTGGTTAAGTTAACCTTTTTAATTTCTAAAAACTTTCTGTACTATTTTAAATCATACTATGCAATGAAATTAAAAAAAAAAAAAATTCCACAACAATATCCCCTCTTCTGCCTTGAGAGAGCACATTCCCCTCTCCTGATGTTTGAAAGGATCTCGCGGAACCGCCCCAGCGAGGAAGTGAGACGGAACTGGAGATCTGGGGATGATGAGGATACCTCCTTAAGACTGAGGGTGAGCCATCCGTGGACCAGGATGCTGGAACGATGGTGAGGGAATCGCGTATGAAGCAGGAATAAAGGAGAGGGGTAGTCGAGAATGTGAACGTGGGTAGGGTATCGGTGGGGCAAAACGTGCGCCGCGACGCTTCAACATACTAAACACGCACAGTCGCGGTTCGGATGCCGTTCTCAACGAATCTGTTTTCTATCATTCCGCTTTTTTTTTAATCACACCACGTGGTACACGACGAAGAAAAAAAAATTCTTTTTTTTCTCCAAAAAAAATCAGTGATTTTTATAATTAAAAAAAAAAGTGTTTCTTTTAACTCAAAAATTTTTATTGTGACATTTTGTTTTTTTTAAACAAAAAAAAAATGTTTTAATGTGATTAAAAAAAATTGTTAATTCCCGAACGATTCTGTAATGAAAAAAAAACATTTTTAAAAAATGTTACAGAAGAAAATAATTTACCAAAGTCTGGAATTTTAATAATTCCCTCTCTTGTGCTAACTCATGGGCAAACAACAACAACAAAATATTGTAAATAATACAATTTGTAATTTACAAAAAAAAATTAACTGTCGAAATAATTGAAATTAAGGAAAAATAATTAATAATAATTGATTAACAATAATTAACAATTATTAACAATTATTAACAATTATTAACAATTATTAACAATAATTAACAATAATTTAACAATAATTTATTGTTAAACAAGAATAGGAACAAAAAAATAAAATCGTAGTGAAACAAGTGTACAAAATTAATACAATGAAAGTGAAGTGATAATTTCGAGGATAAAAAAATGGCTATAAACTTGGAGATGATTTTTAAAATTCATCGATTTCCCGCTAATTTGGGAGGTCGTCGATTGAAATTGAGACGGTTTATAGGATTGCATTTAAATAAGTGACGCAAGTTGTTTTGCGTTTAATTTAAATTGAAGAAAATAAAATTCTTAAATTTTTGTCAAGCAAATTAAAAATTGAAAAAAGAAGGAAAATAATCTCACTTACACGAATGGCGTCTTCATTCGACACGGGGGATTATTGAGAGGTTTTTGTTTGAAGGGAATGGATTTTCAAAGCGTGATGGAAACGATGGCAGAGGCATGGGTGGCTGCTAACACCAAAAATGAAGTGCAGGTACTAATTATCGAAAATTAATAATAATTTATAATTAATAATTAATTTTTAATTTCTTTTTCTTATAATTATATTCAGGCTGATAACTGAATTATTTATACAAGTATAAAACTCTTTCTTAGGTTCTTATTTTTAATTTATGAAAAGAAAAAAATTGCATTTGAAGCCCATTTGCACTATAATTAATAATATTAAATTATTATCACTAATTTTATTATTATAATTGTAATTATTGTTACTATTTTTGGTAAATAATAATAATAATAATCTTTAATGTCCGAGATTTTTTTTTATAAAACATGGTAAATAAAACGAAAACATTCGGACAATGATTACTATTTTTATTATTAACATTATTATTCTTATTGTTAATATTATTATAAATATTATAATTATTGTCATTATTAATATTATAATTATAATTATTATTATAATTATAATTAATATTATAATTAGTATTATAATTAATACCGAATGATAAATTCCTTTCCTATAATTATAATTATTATAAATAACAATAATTATAATATTAAATTTGAAAGAAGTTAAAATAATAATAATAATAATAATAATAATAATAATAATAATAATAATAATAATAATTATCTTTATTATTATTACCTATTATTATTATTATTGTTATTGTTATATTACAATCTTTTATTTATTTATTTAATTATAACAATTTACTTATTCTAATCACCATAATTTATAATTTAAAATTTAAAATTTCACCTTCGATGAGGAGAATCGAACCCTGATCGTTAGGTTAGCAATCGCGTAACTATTCCCCTAGACCAACGCAAACTATAAATTTCTATAAAAAATTATTTTCTTTTTACCATTAGATTTTTATTATTATTATTAAATATTTTTTTTATTTATATTCACCTGTTAATAATGTATTAAAAATGACGTTAATTTAGTCATAAAACAAAATATTTAAATGATATTTAAATATAAGTGATAATAATTTTCGACAGAAATAATTTTGCTGGCGAAAAAAAAGAAGAAATATAAAATCTGACCTACGAGAAGAATGGGTCGAAATTAAATCCAATTTTATTGTTTTTCACATTGTATTATATATATTAATTGGATTATGAATTTGCAAATCCTCTTATAATTTTCGTTTTCATTTTCATTAAAGTATATTAATTGGATTATGAATTTGCAAATCCTCTTATAATTTTCGTTTTCATTTTCATAAAAGTATAAAATAGTTTTTAGAAATTTATTTTAAAAATTGGTATTACATTTTTTTAATGTGAGTGATGAAAAAGGTGGTAATTCGATAAAATCTCTCCCTTTTAGTCGATTGAAAAAAAAGGTTTTTTTTATTAATATTTATTATAATTATAAAATTTCTGTAATTTTCTCCGCAGGGACATAAAAAATTCAAATTATAGAATGTTTCATTTATCGAATATTTTTGGTGGAAAAATTTTTTCCATGGGCCAAAAATCATCTCCAATTTAGAGAAAAATTTAATATTTTATTTATTTATTTAGTTATTAGTTATTTTATTATTTATTTCATTATTTATTTTATTATTTATTTAGTTAATAGTTATTTTATTATTTATTTCATTATTTATTTATTATTTATTTTAACCTTCTATTTTTATTATTTATTTAATTTTTTTTATTATTTATCTAAATGAACGAAATATTTTTCATCAAGTGTATTTTAATTAAATTATATTTTTGGACTTAGGAAGAGCAGAATTTTTCTAATATCAAATAGAGACAAAAAACGAATCAAAAGTGTTGCGAAGCAACATTTTGATTCTTTTTTTGTCTCAATTTGAAATCCTTAGAAAAAAACTGTGAGAGAATAAATACAAAAAAATAGAAATAGTAGTTAAAAACAATTTAAGAAGATAACGAATTCCAATGAAAGGGAAGATTATTGAATTTTGTTTTTGGAACTTTGTGTTATTGTGTTTGATTTTGTAAGGAATTAGTGGATTAGTAAATCGTTGGGTAACAGTGAATGGGAGAATCATAAGGATGGTGTGTAATGCCCATTCAAGTGTCTTTGGCGATGAATGCACGTATATATATATGCTTTTGAATCGCAGGTCTACAGAGAGCGATAGCCATGAATATGATTGCAATATACATATATATAGATATATATATAAATACGTATTGCTATAAGCGACTCGAGGGGTGCCTCGAGGTCGAGAGGCACAACCCCTTCTAACATTACACAGCCAATTGGACACCCTTCTGATTTCTGCGCTCCCTTAAACATTTCATACAAAACCGTTGCCGTCTCTAATTCACTGCAATTCACTTCCTGGACACCTTTTTTTCCCCCAACTTTTGTTTATACATTCACACTGATGACCCAGAAAATTCCACGAAAAAAATTTAATTTTTCGCCATAAAATTATGAACTTTATTTATCATTAAGACTACCGAGTGATAAAGTCAGAAAATTACATTTTTTTTTGTTAATTTTTATAGTAAAGAAGAATAAAACGAAAACATTCGGACAAATAGTTTTTAAAAATTTAATTTAATTAATTAATTAATTAATTTAATTTAATTTTTATTATTAAGAATAAATTATTAAATTATTTTTTATTAGAGAAAATTAGTCGACTGAAAATATTATTTTTAAAACGAAGTCGCGCTCCCAAGAATTAATATGGTACCTAAGAATCAAACAATAATTATGTTTGTATTAGAATTGTCCTTTTTTGTCCAATACAAACGATTTTTAATAAAATATGTTTTATAAAAAAACTTTTTCTAAGAAATTTTGATTTCTAAAAAAAGTTTTTCTAAAAAGTTATGATTTCTAATATTTATTTCATTTATTTTCATGAAATTTGTAAAATTCCATAATTTTGATAAAAGTTAGAAAATTTTTTAAAAATTAAGATTAGGAAATAGAAACTATTTTGCATATTTTCAGCTTTTCAATCACAATTCTGTTAACAAAATTATGTTTCTTTTTGAAACAGAAGAAAAAATTTTATGAAATTCCTTTCTTCTTATTACAATTTTTTAACAAAATTTTGTTCTTCTTTGAAAAAAAAGAAATAATAATTTGCAGCATTTTTATACCAAAATTTCAAAAATGAATATTTTTTTAGAGAATTTTAAATATCTTTAGGAAAAAAAATCTCTATAATTTCTATTTATTAATTACAATTTTTAACTAGATTATTTAATATTTTTTATACGAAGTTGAAGTCTACAACGTTTATCAACGAAAAAAATTTATTTAATACTTTCAAGTATTATTTTTAATTTAATATTTAATTGTAAAATAATTATTATCAAAATATAAGCATCAATATTTTTTTCTAAATATTTTTGTGTCAATATTGCTGCGCATTTTTAATTAATTTACAAACTAAACAATTTTTTTCGTTGATCAACGTTGTGGACTTCAACTTGGTTTTTTATTAAAACTTTTTAACGAAATCTTAATTATCTTTTTAAAGAATTAAGAATTTTTCATAAATTTTATTTTTTAATCATATACCTATTGCTCGTCAATAGAAAAATTGTATATTGTTAAAAAAAGAAATTTGAAAATTATCTTTATTAGAAAAAGAAATTTTTGGAAAATTACAGTGAAACCTGTCGGAATGCAACTTTAATTAAAACAAATTTTTTCTATTCAAAAATGTTCAACAAGAACTATTTTCATTTAATTGCAGAATATTGTAAAAATAAAACAAAAATTAAATTATAAAACAATTTTGCATGCATTATAAAATTGATTTACTGTAATAAAATTTAAAAAATCGATTTGCACTCTGACAGGTTTCACTGTACTGTAAAAAAATTAAAAATTGTTCAAAATTATTTTCATATATATCATATAAAATCAATTATTATTCTTCTCTAGAATTTTTAACTACAATTCTCCATTAAATCATTTATTTTTTAATAATATTCCTCAAAAATAAATTATTTTTCAATAATTAAATAATTAATAATTAAATTTATTTTTAAAAATTTCAACTACTTAATTTTTCAAAGAATTGAAATTAAAAATTTTCAAAAAAAATTGTTCTGTAGAATTCTTAATTAAAAGTATATATTGAAAATTCAGATTTTCAAAGATTTTAATTTGAAACTTTTTCAAAATTCAATTATTTTCTGAAATTTTGAACTAAAATTCTTCTCTAAATCAATTGAATCGTGAATTTCGAAAATTATTTTCGACAATTATTCTATTATTTTTTCATATATCATAGCATCTAGTTCTTACAAAAAAGCTGGCCTCTTGTAAAATTTCAAAAAATTCAATTGAGCCTTTTCGAAATTCACGATATAATTATTTTTTATAATTAAATTCAATCTTTTGAAAATTTCAAATTGAAACCTTTTGAAATTCAATTATTTTTCATCGAAATTTTTTACTACAATTGTTTTATGTTGCCTAGTAGTCTAATTTATTCATGTTACGATAAATTTTTCATTTGTTTAAACAATTTATTATTGATTATTTATATAACATTTTCAAATAAAACTAGAAATCAACAAATTTGTGTAAAGCAATTAATTTGTTTCGTACTGCATAGTAATAAATTAATATTTTAAATAAGGCATTTAAACTACTTACAAATATTGCATAAAATTGTTTAAATAAACAATTGTTGTTATTTATTAACTTTTCACCCATTGCGCCTAGAAAGACGCAGTTTTTTTCTAATTTTACAATTTATGGAGCTACTTATCATAACCGATAAATATTAAATGTCAAATCGATATTTTAGAGATTGTTTAAACAAATAATTGATTGTTATTTATTAACTTTTTTCCTGTTGCCCCTAAAAAGATGCAGTTTTTTTCTAATTTTGCAATTTTCGGACCTATTTATAAAAACTGATGAATGTTAAATGTCAAATCGCTATTTTAGAAATTGTTTAAACAAATAATTGTTATTTATTAACTTTTTTTCTAATGCACTAAAAAAGGTGCAGTTATTTTCGAAATTTTGCAATATAATATTTATCAGTTATTATAAAA